TCTAAAGAGAGCAAAGAGTAGAAGAGGACACACACGAAAAATTGCTGTTGAAAAACTCTCGTACTTTTTATTCAACAGATCACAAGCCTGAAAACAGGCATAACATCAAAAAACTACTCAGCAAGAAAATAACAACGGGATAACAATAACAAAGACCCACTAACATATCCCACTAACTAAAACGTGTAGAAATAAACCCATACAAACTAGGACTCCACTACTATATTATTGAAGACATGTAAAACTGAAATTTGACCACTTCAACACTACTTCATGTGCTGGTGTTGTGTTTATTCAATACTCCCCCTCAACACCAGCTTCTACTCTTTTCACCATACCGAGCTGATGACAGAAACTTTCGAACTTGTTGCTACTCAAGCTTTTTGTAAACAAATCTGCAACTTGGTTTTCTCGTTTTGACATGCTCCAACTCAATTTCTTCTTGCAAGACTTTCTCTCTGATAAAATGATGATGCACCTCCACATGCTTAGTTCTTGCGTGAAAAACTGGATTCTCCGCCAAACGTATTGCCGACAAGTTGTCACAGTACAAAGAGACACCATACTCTGTTGGTTGATGCAAGTCTTTCAACAATTACATAAGCCAAGTGCTTTCTTGAGCTGCCATCACTGCTGCTCGGTATTCTGCTTCCGTGTTTGACAAAGACACCGTTGGTTGTCTTTTACTACACCAAGAAATTGCTCCGGACCCAAGCATGAAGACATACCCGGTAGTTGAACGCCAGGAATCATGGTCACCTGCATAGTCGGCATCATAGTAGCCAACTAGTCTGCAATCTCCACCTTTCTTGTACATAATACCATAGCCAAGCATGCTCTTCACATATCTCAAGATTCGACGAACTGATTTCAAATGAGTCTTCTTTGGATTTTGCATGTAGCGACTCATCACACCAACTGCAAAAGAAACATCCAGTCTTGTTAAAGTTAAGTAGATAAGACTACCCACCAACTGCCGATACATGGTAGCGTCTTCTAAATCTTTCCCTTCATGAGCACACATTTTGGCGTTTGGCTCCATCGGTGTCGAGATTGGCTTGCATCTAAGCATTGCAAATTTCTTCAACAAATCTTTGGAATACTTTTGCTGATGGAGAAATATTCCTTCCTGAGTATAGTCGACCTCTAAACCAAGAAAATGTTTGAGCTGTCCAAGTTCTTTCATCTGAAAGCGAACTGACAAATTCTCCTTGGTTTGGAGAATTTCTTCTTCCCAATCTCCTGTGATGATTAAATCATCCACATACACCAGCAAAATAGCTAACTTCCCTCCTTTAGCTTTGACAAACAAGCTAGAATCCGCAGATATCACCGAATAACCACTATGAGTAAGAAATTCAGCAATCTTACCATACCAAGCCCTCGGTGCTTGTTTTAGCCCATAGAGAGCCTTCCAGAGCTTACACACATACTCAGGATGATCTTGATTCTGAAAGCCCATTGGTTGGCTCATGTAGATCTCCCGATCTAGCTCCCCATGCAAAAATGCATTTTTCACGTCCATTTGCCACAAGTTCCAACTTTTGCTTGCTGCAAGTGCCAGTAGGACTCGTACAGTTGTAAACTTCGCAACTGGACTAAACGTTTCATCATAGTCTAGTCCATATTGTTGAGAGAACCCTCGAGCTACCAGACGAGCTTTGTGCCTCTCTATTGATCCATCTGTGCGGCGCTTTATCTTGTACACCCATTTGCAAGAAATAGGCTTCACATCTCTTGGCTTTGGTATGAGCTCCCAAGTCTGATTTCGCTCTCTTGCAGCAATTTCCTCTTCCATAGCCTTAATCCATTCCGAACTCTGAGACGCTTCCTCAAATGTCTCAGGCTTTTTTGCATCTGCCTCTTCTACTATGGCGGCATTAGCATACTTAGGATTTGGCTTTCGGGCTCTTGTTGACCTTCTAAGTGCAGTTGGTGTACTTGCTTCACTTGGCTCATCTTCTTCGCTTGGCCTTTGGTATACACCTGTTTGCCAAGGATTTTGAGCTATGCCTTCTTCAACATCTACATCGTCGTCTGCAACCTCTGTTTCACTTGAACTCAACTGGAATTGAGAAATTTCTAACATTTCCTTAAAAACATCCGAGTCCGGTAGTACTTCCTTGTTCGAGGACCACCATGAGGAAGCTTCATCAAACACCACATTCCGAGATATGTAGCATTTCCTGGTTGTTGGATCGCAACATCGCCACCCTTTTCTTTGACTGTCGTATCCTACAAAGATACACCTAACAGCCTTTTTCTCCATCTTGCTACGTAACTGGTCAGGTACAAATACATAGCACACGCATCCAAAAACTCGAAAATGACCAACAACAGGCTTCATGTTCGATATTTTTTCAAAAGGTGAACGAAAGCATAACCTTTGTTGAGGAAGCCTATTGGTCACGAAGGCCGCAGTCTTCATCGCTTCCGCCCAAAACTGTCCCGGAACATTCTTTGAATGAAGCATACTTCGACATACTTCTGCCAGATGCCTGTTTTTCCTTTCTGACACCTCGTTTTGCTGCGGAGTGCTAGCACATGTAAACTGATGGCGTATTCTGCACTCCTGAAGGAAATTTGCGAACTCATTTGAGATGTACTCTCCCCCATTGTCGGTGCGTAGACAACAGACTCTTTTACCAACCTCCGCTTCCGCTACCTTCTTGAACTCTGTGAATTTTGAAAGAGTTTCAGATTTTTCCTTCATAAAGTAAACCCACACGTACCTCGAGAAGTCGTCAATGAAGGTCACCATATACTTCATCCCACCAACGGAGGCTTGCTTAATTGGTCCAAACACATCAGAGTGTATCAACTCTAATGGTTCCTTCGCTTTAAATTTGGACTCTTCATACGGCAACTGGTGCGCTTTTCCATACTGACAGCCTGCACATACAGTGTCTGCTCTCACTTCAAGTTGTGGAAGTCCCTTCAGCATCGACTTCTTTATCATCACATCTAGCTTAGAATAGCTAACGTGACTTAGTCGCATATGCCATAAGTTTGCTGTCTCATTCCTTCTCGTCTTGTCTACATATGCGGTTTCCGCAGACATTACGTAGACAGACTCCGTTCTTCATCCCTTCATTACCGGCTCTTCTGTAATCTCAAGGTCTCGATATATCTTCACATCTTGTGGACCAAACAGAACAAAATGGCCAGAAGATGTTAATTGTGCTACCGAGAGAAGATTTTTTCTCATACCTGGAACATGATAGACGTTTTGGAGTGGCACCTCGGCATCGCTACATTGGGGAGAGACGGCCGTATTACCGATATGGGCTATCAGTAACTTTGAGTTATTCGCCGTCACCACCACCCGACTTCCCTTGTACTCCGACAAGTTCTGCAACTTTTCTTTATCACCGGTCATATGGTTTGAACAGCCCGAGTCAACGATCCAATCATTCTCATAATCAATTTGATTGAATGTTGTTGCTGTAAGGGCTAGCTCCTCCTTATCTACAGCAAAGAAAGCCTCATCATCCCATTCGTCTTCGTTTTTTGAAGTAGCAGCGTTACTCTCGATGGCCTTCTTTTTGGACCAGAAATCTTTCGCCATATGACCTTTCTTATTGCAGTTGTAGCACTTCCCTTCAAACTTTTGGCCATTGCCATGGTTCTTAGAACCTTTCCATGCACGAACGCTCCCTTCATCTTGATGACTTCTCGCCTTGTCATCGTTCTTTTTGGATCCACCGTAGGCATGCCGCTTGGAATTCCACTTGCCTTTGTTGGCATAGAGTGCCTCTTCTTCATTCTTCAACGAGACTCCTCCCATTTGCTTAGCTAATGCTTCTTGACCAGCTAGCAAATTTTCGAATTCGACAAGCGACGGCTGAGTTTGCCATCCTTGTATGGCAAAAACAAAACTCCCGAATCGGCTTCAAACCATGGATGATGATCCGCTTTATCCCGGTATCGCCAATCGGAGCCTCCGGATCCAATTCGCAATCTCTCGGCATAACGTCTTCACTTTGTGGAAGTACTGAGCGACCGTCATGTCGCGTTGCGCCATCGACAACAACTCACTTTCTAAGAGTTGGAGCTTCGTATCGTTCTTCTTAGAGAACAGCTTGGCGAACGTATCCTAAGCTTCTTTGGGAGTTTCCGCATCTCGGATATGCTCCAGCACATCCTCTTCAACTGTCGTCTTCAAAACGAACATGGCTTTGCCCGCTTTAATCTTCCACTTCCGCAATGTCCCATTCGCATCTTCAGCCTCCAGTTGTCTCACATCGTTTCCATTGACAACCTCCCACAAATCCTGGCCCTGCATATAAGACATCATGCAGGTAGACCAAGAATTGTAGTTTTGGTTGCTGAGCTTCTTGATTCCGCCAACGACTTGAAGATCACCCATCTTGGCAATAGAGATGCTCACAAAATACCCAGAACCTGGCTCTGATACCAGATTGTTGAAAAAGAACAAGCGGCAAGTATGGTTCAATAACCTCTAAAGAGAGCAAAGAGTAGAAGAGGACACACACGAAAAATTGCTGCTGAAAAACTCTCGTACTTTTTATTCAACAGATCACAAGCCTGAAAACAGGCATAACATCAAAAAACTATTCAGCAAGAAAATAACAACAGGATAACAATAACAAAGACCCACTAACATATCTCACTAACTAAAACGTGTAGAAACAAACCCATACAAACTAGGACTCCACTACTACATTATCGAAGACATGTAAAACTGAAATTTGACCACTTCAACACTACTTCAAGTGCTGGTGTTGTGTTTATTCAATATCACATTACATTCTCTCTCTTTCCCATTGGGGTGCCATACGCCCATAAGAAACCTACTTAATGCAGCAAAACTCAGGCAGTTGGAAGTATAAAAAAAAAAAAGAGACGAGGGAATGTGAGCTCCAGCAAAAGGGACAAAGTCCTGCACAAGATTCTCTCTCCCTCTGTTTTCTTTCTTTTACTCAATCATAAACCGCAGAGAAAAGAAAAAGAAAATGAGAAAATCGCTTGCTGGGCAGCCTCACACACACTCTCTCTCCCAAACCCATCTATAAATGGTTAGTTGGAGTCTCTGAAGAAAGGTAGCTAGATTAGATAGATACAGGGGACCCCATTTCTCTCCACTCTGCAACATGCACATCAATTCTTCTTCCAACACTTAACCTCTATCTCTCTCCCTCTCTCAGACACAAAACACAAGGCCTCATATTCAGTGCTTGAGTTGGGGTTGCCTGTGCACACTAAGCATGCCGACGACACCAACAAGAAGTCAGTACTCGAAGAGAGATGCTAACAGAGGAGCATGGACTTCTGAAGAAGACCGAAAGCTAGCTCAAGTAATAGAAACCCATGGCCCAAGAAGGTGGAAGCTAGTTGCAGCTAAAGCAGGTATATGGGTTTGTTGACAATGTTTAATGCAATGTCCCATTTCATTCACGACCACTCTAGATCCTTCCTTTTTTAAGGTAATTAGGACCCATGTGAGTTTGAATTGAGTTTTTCTGTTTTTTGGTGTAGGCCTCAATAGATGTGGGAAGAGTTGCAGATTAAGATGGCTGAATTATCTGAGACCCAATATCAAGAGAGGCAACATCTCAGACCAAGAAGAGGACTTGATTTTCAGGCTTCACAAACTCCTAGGAAACAGGTGGACTTTCTCACCAGAATCACAGCTTCTTGCAACAACTGATTACCCATCTTGCCAGAATTCAATGACTGGTTGAATTAATTTTTTTTCTTCCTTTTGCAAACTATTTCAGGTGGTCCTTAATCGCTGGAAGGCTGCCAGGTCGGACAGATAACGAGATCAAGAACTATTGGAACTCTCGTTTGAGCAAAAAGATAAAGCAGAAGGAGTACCAAAGCAAATTGCTCCAGCCGGATCAATCTCAGGACATGAGGAATAATGCGACGGCGATGCATAGTACGGCGGGCAACGATGGAGGTACATCAAAGAGAGAGGAAGAGATGAAAACCGACTTCTCTAGGGTTGACTTCCTTGATAGCTTCGATGAGGGTCCTCTCAACTTGGAATGGATGAGCACATTTTTGGAAATGGATGAGAGTTGGTTTTGATTTGCCAAAACTGTAGATTTTCTTCTTTTCCCCCCAATTTATGATAAGCAATGATTGGGCAGTCCAACATTTAGATTCTACCACCCCATAATGGAATGGTATTTTTCAGGCAGGGAATGGTAGTTTTTGTAGGAATTTATGGGGAAACTGCCAAGAATGTTACTCTTTTGTTGATACCGCTTGGCAAATCTTGCATATTTACTCAAGCTAGGTGTTCAACACGTCTAGGGTTGGATCATTTTCTTATCTTTTGGCAGAACTTCTTGCTCTAGAATATGACATCATATTGTAATGGCATATGTTGATTCCTCCAAAGACCCTAAAAGGTATCAATAAAATGTGCCAATTAGTATTAGCGTTCTTCATTGGAGTGTTCGAGTGTTTTCCCAGAAGTTCACTCAATTGTAAACTGCACCAACATTAATTTATCCTAAAGTGTGGATCTTTAACCAAGGTTGACAACCATGTGCTATTTTCTTAATTGTCTAGTGTTTCCATGATTGATATGGACTTATGATCTTGCCCACGCACTAGTTTATGTCGATTTTGACTGTAACTATAAAGTAAACCTCGCGTGAGTCTGATGGAATGGTCCAGTTTTCCATGGACCCGCAAGCCCGACCTCGGCAACAGGGCAAGACAGAAGAAAAATACAAGACTCCATCAATGGTTTGGTCCCAATTATCAAAAGCAGACAACTATTGTTGTCATCGCCTAAAAACCAATTTAGCTGAGCAGATTTTGGCCAAAATTTGTACGGCCGTCAGGTTCCATCATTAACAGATAGAAAAATCTCTCTCAAAAGATGTTGTCAAGCTACAGACAGCAATCATCAAAGTGGCAAAGGCCACTCAGTCTCATTATTGGAGACAGATTCAGAAATGTTCCATCCGTGAACAGAGAGAAAAAGCTCCCTCAAAAGATGTTGTCAATATACAGAAAGCAATCATCAAATTGGAAAAGGCCAATCAGTCTCATTATTCGAGATACAGATTCCGAAATGAAATAGTAAAACGGGTAAAAAGAAGAATCTTGATTTGTGGGTATAGAGATTAGTAAATCACGATAACAGAAGGGTCCAGAGATTAAACAAGCTTAAGTCAATATGGATGGAAATTTTGTTTCTTTTAACTCAGGAGCACGAGCAGCGACACCCGTCTACATGGATGAGCTTTTATATCAGAGAACAATGACCTTAAATATGTTTATCTGCAACCTCAGTCTTTCTTGTGCCCATGACTCGGTGCTTTTTGGCTCAATCAAATGTCTCTGCTGAACAGAAAAAATCTGACCCTTTGGTGTCTCCATATGCACGAGATTTTGTCATCGTTTTCAAATGAACCAAACAAGACAAGGCCGAGAGTTAAAGCAGAATTCACATACCAGACAAAAATTACGTGACACATTGTTCCGGACCATATTCTTGCCATTCCATTGTATTTCATTTCCCCTTTAAGCTTATACCTGACAAACTGATAAAGCATATGTTCTCTTTTTCATAAATCTAGTATGTGAGCTTGCATGATGAGAGGGATTGCCAAAATAGTCATCTGTAGAAAGATGAGAAATGCTAGTATGCCTTAGCTCGATTCATTTACCCAAGTAAAGGACATATCTTTTTGTAACCATGCAGCCATGTCTGAAAATTTTGTCAAATTTGTGTACCAGAGGCAAGCTGAATCGGTAGTCAAGATTCTTTATTTTTGCACTTTGGGGCGGGACACAAACGAGAGACATTTGAGCTTCAAAAGTCTCAAATCTTTTTGAAGCTCAAATCTCGGACATGAAGGAACTAATCTTGACATACCTAATTTATTGATTTACTTTCCCAATGACTTGAAATGTTGAACCCGGGGCAGTATTATTGGAGCTCCATGCTGAGGTTGGAGAGTAATGACGGTACGTATAGCATCGACTTGAGCAGGAGAGAGCTGAAACATTTTTTGTGTGGTGTCAACTGAGCCGGAGAGAGCTGAAAATCTGACCCTTTGGTGTCTCCATAGGCACGAGATTTTGTCATCGATTTCAACTGGACCTAACAAGACAAGGCAGAGAGCTAAAGCAGAATTCACATACTCGACAAAAATTACATAACAGATTGTTCCGGACCATGTTCTTGCCATTCCGATGTCATTCATTTCCCCTTTGAGGTTATATCTGACAAACTGATAAAGCATATATTCTCTTTTTCATAAATCTAGTACGTGAGCATGCATGATGAGAAGAATTGCCAAAGAGGTCATCCGTAGAAAGAAGAGAAATGCTACGTATTATGCCTTAGCTTGATACATTTACCCAAGTAAAGGACATTTCTTTTTGTTACAATATAGCCATGTCTGAAAATTTTGTCAAATTTGTGCACCAGAGGCAAGTTGAATCGGTAGTCAAGATTCTTTATTTCTGCACTAAATATGCACTTTGGGGTAGGACACACACAAGAGAGATTTGAGCTTCAAAAGTCTCAAATCTCGGAAACGAAAGAACTAATCTTGACATACCTTACTTATTGACATACCTTACTTTCACAATGTCTTAAAATGTTGAACCGGGGGCAGTATTATCGGAGCTCCATGCTGTGGTTGGATAGTAATGAAGGTATGTGTGGCGTCGACATGAGCAGGAGAAAGCTGAAACTCATAGTTCTGCAATATCATTGCTAGGGCCATCTGTTAAGGATAATGGCACAAATCAAGGAATCAAGATCACATCAAATCAAATCACATAAGTACTAAAGTCAAGGAAGAATTTCATATAACAAGCAAGTACTATAATCAAGGGATTGTAAATTCAATTTGATCGATTTTGTAAATTCAATTTGATTGATTCTAACGGCTTGTAATCTCTTGTATAAATACATGTACTCAGCGCATGGAAAATGTATCAGTTGCATAAAATCTTTTTCTCAGAATTCTCTCGATTTTCTTAAACTTTATATGGTATCGGAGCTTTTTTGCTCAACCGAGCCTTCGATCCCACCATGTCGAGTTCAACCAGTGACAAAACCAACTCTTTCGCAACCGGTCTCATCACCATCGGCAACACTAGTCTGATCACTATCGGCAACATTGTTCAGCTTACTATGAAGCTCACAGTTGGCAACTTTCCCTCTTGGCGAGCACAACTTCAAGCCATTTTAATCGGGCATAATCTGCTTCGATTTGTTGACGGCACACACCCTTGTCCGTCACTTGATTCATCCAGATCAGCCAGTCCAGCACGCACATTGTGGATTCGCCAGGACCAGCTGTTGTTATCTGCCATTTTCGGCTCAGTTTCTGAATCTATTTTGCTGCTGATTGCATTCAGCGAAACCTCTCAAGAGGCACCAAAAAAGCTACCAACCTTTATGCCAACAAATCCCATTCTCGGGTAATGTTTCTTAAGGACCAGTTGTCCACAATCGGGCATCAATCGAGGTCAGTTTCCGAATATCTTCAAGAATTAAAGGGTATTGCTGATGAACTCTCCATTATTGATACACCTCTTCAAGATGACGATATTGTTATTCATGCCATACATGGAATTGGTCCTGAATTAAAGAATTAGCGGCTGCAATTCATGCTAGAGAAAATCCTATTTCATTTGAGGAATTACACGACAAACTTGTCGCTTATGAAACTTACCTTAAGCATGAAGAAAAAGCTGTAGAATTTATTCCTGTCATAGCTCAGTATACTGCCAAATCATGCTCTAGTTCGTCCGCTGCTCGCTGGAACGGTGCCCACAACGGACGCGGTGATTCTCATGGTGCCCGCAACAACTCTGGCAGCCAATAGTCTCTCACCCAGCGGGGCAGCCTATCTCAATCTCATGACTCTCGGTCTCTATGTCAATTTTGCGATAAATACGGCCACGTGACCAAGACTTGCTACTGTATCCGAGGTCGTCCAAATACCGAACCTGTTATGCACCACACAACTGCCACACTCTCAACCTCGCAATGGCTTGTTGATTCAGGAGCGTCCTACCACGTCACCAACGACTTAGCAAACCTATCTCTCCACTCGGAGTATGAAGGACCAGATGACATTGTGATTGGCGACGGAACAGGTTTGAGTATTTCACATGTTGGAACGATAAAACTTGTGTCTCCCTAAAACACCTTTGTTTTACCTAACACACTTTGCGCACCGTCTCTTACTCAAAATTTAATTTCCGTCTCTAAATTTTGTGTCCAAAATAATACCTCTATTGAATTTTTTGCCACGTTCTTTTTGTAAAGGATCTTCGAACGGGAGCGACGCTGTTGCGTGGCGAGCATAAGCACGGAGTTTATCGGATGCCACTCTCCCTACGGCCACACAAAGACCAACCTATGGCGTTCATAGGAGAGAAAGCGACTGGCATCGACGTTTGGGACATCCTTCTCTCTCCATTCAAAATTATGTAGTTAGGACATTTTCATTACCCATAAGTCCTATGTCCAAACCCGGGGGAAGAACAACAGAAGTGCCAAAAGTTGTGTACGGAGCTCACTTTGGTACAAAAAGTTCCATTTGGATCACTTAAGTGCCAAATCGGAGGAAAAATGATCATTTTGGTGCCAACGGCAAGAGATTCCGGCCAAATTAATACGTGGCATTTATAATTAAATTTTTAATCTTAGTTGGATTTTTTTTAAAAATTAGTCTACGTGGCATCTCCACGTATATATTTCGATTTTTTAAATACTTTTCTGAATTTTTTTCTTTTTTTTCTTCTTTTCTTTTCTTTCTTCTCCCTTTGGTCACCACCGGTGATCGGAGGCCGGCCACCGGCTGCCTGGCCTCGCCCGGACGAGGCCGCCGCCGCCCGCCACAGGCGAGGCCCGGCCGACCCTTGCCTAGAGCGACGGCGGGCAAGCCCGGCGAGTCGGCCTCGCCTCGCATGGGCGAGGGCGAGCCCCGGCGAGTTTCCCCTCCCAGGATCCGGCGAGGCCGGCCGTCGCCCGGGCCACGGCGGCCCCGCCGGTGCGTCGCCTTCCCCGGGCGACGCCCGGCGGGGCCGCCGTGGCTCGGGCGATCCCGGCGGGCCGCCGTGGCTGGGCGACGGCCGGCCTCGCCGGATCTCGGGGAGGGGAAAACTCACGGGGCTCGCCGCCCATGCGGCGGCGAGGCCGACCTCGCCCGGGCT